CGCGCTCTTCCACCCCCACCCCATCTGGCTGCACCTCCAGCGACAAAATGGTTGCCGGGCTGTGTCTTTTCAAAGTCATTGATCCCAGCTCAGGCCTCAGTCCTGGACTAGAGGCTCTTCATGGAGGCAGCGTTTGTAACTGGCAAGAAACCTCAACAAATACCGATCCCAGACGTCCTAGAGGTGGTGACTTCGTTGGTCGGGTGTGTGGCCTCCTCTATGAGTTCAGGAGAACCCCACACCTACCGCTGGCTTAGCTTGGCTGGGCTCCGTGGGCCTGCGGGCACTGCAGCGGTCTCTTCTGGGGCTCGCTCCAACCCCTCATGCCCCGAGAGGTAGGCAGGGCCTGCCGTGATTCCCCTTACACAGATGGAGAAACTGAGGTACAGTGAGAGTAAGCCCTCGCCCAGATCAAACAACTCGTAAACAGGAAGCCAGGATTTGAACTTGGATCGTCTACTTCCCGAACCCAACGTTTTACCTGCCATGCACCGTATTTCCTGCCACAGCCAGCCTGCCTTTGTTCCTGTTGCTGTCTTCCCTTGTTCAGGCCTGGCCCTGCCCCCTGCAGCACACCTTGCTCCTTTCCTTTCCTGCGTCTCTCATCATGATTCTGTGGTTCCCCAGGGCCAGCCACAGGAGGCTGGCCCTGCCTTACCCTGTCACTGCCTTCCTCCAAAGTCACGATGGGCACTCACTGAGCAGGGGCAGGACAGGGGTGAGGCACTTAGCACAATGAGGGTGCTGTCACCGCGGGGTCCCCCTGGGAGGCTGTCTACCTCTCTGTTCCACGGCCTAAGGACGTGCCCGGTTTGGACAACAACTTTAAATGCCTTTTGATATGGTGACATTTTACAGTTCACATGGATGTTCAGATTTATGACTCTTCTAGAGAAAGGAAGGTTCTGAAAGTTCCTGGCAGTGCCTGGCAGTAAAGAAGCTGCCCTGGTCTGCCAATCTCCCAGCCTTGCCCTTCTGAGTGTCTGGCTTTGTGACTCTGGGGTCCCCTAGACATGGCCTGTGTCTGCAACCTCTGCATCTGTTCCCAGCCTTTCCTGTCTGGGGTGCCCCAGGCCGCCCCTGGCTGGGTGCCTTCCCTGCCCTTTATGCGGCCTTGGGGGCTCTTCAGTGGCTGTTCTCCCCAAACACGTGCACCCCTCAGACTTGCCCCAGTACGGGTCTGCCTCCCACTAACACGGAAGTTCACCCAGCAGAAAGTTCCTGGAGGACAGAGAATCTGTCTTCCGCAACTTTGAAAACTCCGCAGAGACCAGCAGGCGCCTTGCACGGTGGAGTCACTCTCCTGCCTGTGTCTCTGTCCTCACCAGCGAAATCGTTTTAAACACAACCCGTCTTTACAGAAGCACAGAGAAACACCAGGTTTTTAGAAACATTTTTTTGCGTCATGATTTTGAAATTCTCACTGTCCAGTAATGGGAAACCATCGCGATGCCCCGTTCCCTCCCGGTGCCCTGCAATAACTTGATCAGTTCTTTCCGCTCCTTTCCTCCCTGCATGGAGCCCCATCAGGGGTCCTAGAGCTCTGGAGGCCAGAGGCCCAGGGTCGAGGCCCAAACTCCCCTGAGTGTGGACTTTTGGCTCCACAGCCAGACCTGCCCTGTCTTGAGCAGCAGGAGGGGAGCTGGGCTTGGAGGGAAGTGGGGTGACTGCCCTTCCTCTGCTGGGGCTGAGGCCAGGTGTCCTCTGCCTCCAACTCAACACCAACTGCAGATGCAAGAAGGTTAGCGAGGACAGGACGTGGGTTACACCTCCGTATAGTCTCCTTCCTGCCTGCAACCCACAGCCTCACCACCCTGTCTCCAAAACCACTCTGGGGTGCAGCCGGGTCTCTGCAGCACAGTGGTAAAACACAGCGCTCTGGGATGTGACCCACACGAGAAGGTTCTAGGTTCGTGTCCAGAGACCTGCCAGAGCACGCTGGTCACACATGCACCCGTGTCTCGCTTTCTGTCTCTCTGTCTCTCTCTTTCTGGAAAGCGCATGTGCCCCATAGCGAAAACCTCTAAAAAAATACGGTTTATTCAGTTGCGATTTAGAGTTCCAAGGACCAACGTCCAGCTTCCAGTGAGGCTCCAGCTTCCAGTGAGGCTCCAACACGAAAGGGGTGGGACCCTGGGCAGAGCATCGCTAACTTCCCGGTAAGTTCCTGGTTCTATCCATGTGGCCTCCACCTGCCTCATTTTCTATTTTTAAGTCCACCCGAACCCAGCAGGGGGGCTGCCCCAAAGACTTAATCATCAAAAGACTTCACCTGGGGCCCCATGAAGGGATGTTCAGGTAAACACGCCAAGCCTGGGGGCACAGGCCATCCTATAACTCCAACTGTCCTGTCCTGGCATGTCCCTGGGGCTATGTGCCTGAGAGCTCTGGGGATCTGAAGGGAGATGGTGGGGAGGAAGAATCCGATGAATTCTGTGGGCTCCTGCAGGAGAGCGCTCCAACTGAGCGGGAGAGGCAGCCTGAGAGCAG